GGAAGAGGAATCAATTCGTGTGTGTGTGAAAAAATGAAAATGGCTTTGCGTGTCTTTTTTTTTATTTTGAAAGATGAAGTCAAAGTTGGGTGGGAGAATAAGGTTCTGTTGAGTGAATGGGGGGATAGAAAGTTTGTGTATGGTTGCCCGTTGATGGTGATGGGAGTTTCAGCAGGGGATGGAGATGAATCACCCGGTATTGGAGACGTTGGAGTGAACATGAACGATGCAAGGGATAAGATTTGGCCGTGAGGGAATATGGATGAATGAAGGATGACGTAGATTGGGGAATGGTGTGTGTGCCTGTGATGCAGGAAATTCTGAGGAATGAAGCTTTTGAGTGTATTGGCATGGATCGGTGGATTGGTTGCGTTTTGATAGAGGTACGAACTTGTACTATACTTTCTACTCTCTTTCTACTCTGCGTTTTCTACGTGTTTTTATTTACGTGTTTTCTCTCCTGTGTTGCTGGTTGAATGGATACATACTTCATTTTTTTGTGTTTGAGGGAAGACACCTATATTTCTATTTGTAGTTATAACTGATGAATCTTAGTGATATTACATTTTGGGTGTAGTTTTGATTAGCAACAGGCAAACGACTGTGAAAGTTCCTTCATACATTCTCAACATATCCAAACAGACAGTATCATTCATTCATTCCCAACATCATTCGTTCGTATCCAGACACACAACAGAAGGCATGCATTCACTTAAGGCAAAGCCAAGAGCTCAGATAGAGAAACTTACCTTCGCAGCTTCAAACGAAAATCGTTCTTTTGGTTCTAGCTCCCTCTATCCTCTTCCAGTTATCTTCTTTTTGGCTTGTCTCACCCTCTTTCAACATCAAAGCGTAAGATGTTGAAGGCGAATCCGTTCGGACGGTTCTCCTCTTGATTACTAAGTCCGGTGATATGTGATGAGGGTAAGTTTCTCTCCAATTTTTGTGATGATTTCTCTCTCTAAAATCCTGATGATTCCCCAGTCTCCCCTGTGATCCCTGCTTAATGACTATGATGAAAACTCTTTTTAAAAAACCAAACCCCCAAACTCCTCTTCCCTGCATCCTGGAGCTCTGGGATATCTTTCTGTCAGTGGGATTTCCTTTTGTGTTTTTTCTTTTTTGATGTTCATGTATCGTATCAGTGGCAGAAGCTGCGCTTTCAAAAAAAAACACTTCTCTTTTTTATGTATATTGTCAGTTCTACAGTAGAGAATTATAGGGAAGGAGGTCTCTGCCTTTTGTACTTACTGCCATTGTAGAACGTCCATTTTCAAGCATTGTCTTTCTGCAAAACTGACCCCTTCTTAAAACTGCTGTTTTATCGAAAGGAAGGGTTGTTGACCTCTGTTTTTTTCTTTTTTTCTTTTCCTTTTTCTTTTTTTCGTTTTCTACAAATAAAATAAAATAACTAATATATATTAAACACCATACATAAAATATATATATATAATAATAATAAAATAATAAATAAGGTAAAATAAATATAACTAAAAAAATAAAATAAATAAAGTAAAATAATAAATAATAGAAGGTAAAATAAAGTATAAAATTAAAAAATAAAAAAATGAAAGAAAATAACATAATAAATAAAAGAAAATCATTAAGTATCCTGGACGAAATTAGGTGCTGACACAATGAAAAGAATAGACATATTCAATTGAGACACAATTTGGTGAAGCAGCTGCTAAAGAGTGGAACTATTTTCCATTCATTATGTGAGTTAGAACGAAATCTAGCAGATCCCTGACAAAACCCCTAGGAAGCCAAATGATATTAGAAAACAATCGAGGGGAATGAGACTTAAAAGCCACTTGCAAACAAACAAGTGATGGTAACCCACTTTGTGATTGGAGATCCCATGAATAAGGTTCATATGGGTAAAAACAAGTCACTTGTTAGTTCTGATAGCACTAAATTGATTTTAATCAATTATGTTCATTCCTATGGTGTGTGTGAAGTGTTTAAGACGATTATTGAGAGCTAACTTGTTATTAAATTTCTATGTGATGAAAAAGAATTTTTAGTTTAAAGCAAGTTTTTTAAGAGATAACAATACCTCCTTCTAACCAATAGAAAGATGAATATAACTTGACTTTGCCTACAGATGAGCTTCACCTTAGACTCACTAAAATCCAAGCTTTTCCCTTCTACAAGCACCAAGAACTCAAGCTTTCCTTAAAACACTAAATTGCAGACAATGCTCTAGCTCTTTAACAATTTAAGTAACACATTTGGTTGCTGCCATCAATACCCTTGCATAGAAGGTAGACCATCAAACCACATCGCGAACCCAAACCACATCACTTAAACTCTGATCAATATTGTCAAAATTCTTTCATAAACCTCAAACATATTTTGTTTAACATGGGTATTTGTTAAACATAAAAAAGGGAGAAATTGTTAAGACAAGATCATCTAAAGAGAATAGAATGTTACCAATGAAGAGCATTGGTAAATTTGAAGATAAATGATTTTGATGATGCTGAAAGATGATACATTGTTATAGTTGTTTTAAAAAGCATTTGTAGATTAAACTGTTATTATCTAGGAAAAGCCTAAACATGTAATACTTAGAAAATTTCGTCTTTTTAGAACTGCTAAACGCATTAAATAAAATCATTATTAATCAGCTATATCGATTGCTTGAGCCTTATGAAAAACTCGTTGTCTGGAATACTCGATTATAATACTCACTAATCGATTATCATACTGAGAGACTGCCATCAGGAATAATCGATATTCCTTCAATAATCGATTATCACTTTTTTGAACACCCTGTAACGGACTTGAATAATCGATTATCACTTACAATAATCGATTATCACGCAGTTTGGATATGATCCTTTGCGACCTTACCAGTGTATTGCTTATATTTTTGTTTTGTGAAATTGAAAAATAACTTAGAAAGAAAGTGAGCTTTTGAGAATACAGTGTGATCTGAGGAGTTCCAAAGCAGTTTTCATTGCACATGCCTAGGGTCTATGAAAAGGAGAAGCTCGCGCTTTGTGGGTCAAAGGTCGGAGCGTTCTCCTCGAAGTTGGCAAAGTATTTTGTCGTTGGTCGAATTGTTCGCACTCATCGGTTCGTCAAGACAAAGGTAGTTGCTTGTTCATCGTTGTCAAGGTTTATCTCTGTTTTCATCCCTCTATTGTAATTGTGAAACTATTTTAGTGAAATCGTAACATTTTTATAGTGATTCACACTGGACGTAATCTTTTGAATCGAACCAGGATAAAATCCATGTGTTAACTTTTCTTGCTCTCTACTACTCGTTACCTGTTTTATGCACATCATTGTTTGTTAAATTTTGCTCAAGTAAATGATTTTATAAACGGACCATCATTAATTAGATTGTTGCGTACAATAACACGCTTTCGCTTATAAGTTTATTCCGCTGGCAGACTTCTATAACTATACCGATTGTTCCCACAATTGGTATCAGTAGCTTGCTTTGATATTCTTTCAAATCTTTTGCAAAATGGCGGCATCAAACTCAAGTATATGCCGAGGTGCAATCCATCAACAACCACCCTTTTACTGGTGATTAACTATGCATTCTGGAAATCAGAAAAATTTGTTTGGAAAATTTTATGGGGTCTGTTGCAGAGGCATCGGGAAGCTGTGCAATGTCCCTATAAATTTCTAAACAAAATTTCCAACACAGTTTCCAAAAGAACTACGTAACCTTGATTTCTCATTTTGAATGAGAATACGTAGGAGCAAGGTCAATCCTTGTCGGGCCCAAAAAACTAAAAAAATATATTTTGTTTATTTAGAATTTTATTTTATGGGATAGTTAAACATTTTGAAAACCACATCATATTCGTGTATTTAGTTAAAGGTACTGCCTTAGGGCAGGCGTTGTAGGGTGCTAACACCTTCCCTACGCGTAACCGACTCCCGAACCCAGCATATGGTTTTCGTGGACCGTGTCTTATTATTTTATGGTTTTTCCGTAGTTTTCCATAATAAACTACGGTGGCGACTCCAAAATCTCTTTTCAAAACCCGTCTTTTTTTTTTGATCGTCGTTTCGTCGCGATTTCAGTTGCGACAGATACTCCGTTGGGGACTCTTAGAGAGTCAAGACATTTAATTAGATGCACGATTTTGATGTGGTTTTGCTCTATGTTTTCCTTCCCTTTTTTTTTCTTTATCTATGTTTGATATTTGAATAATTGCATGCGGGTTATTTAGATTGTTTTATATTGAAACCTAGGGTAGAAAACATGTTTATATCTGCTTGGGAAATTTTCTGGTTATTTTGGAGGTGAGAGTTAAGGCATTGCATTCTCCCTTCCCACACACACATTATACATATCATGAGTGGGACCCTAAGCCCAGGTTTGAGTGCAACTTAGAAATAGAGGGGTTGTGTAGCGGTGCCACTTGGGACATACTTCCTGTTTGGCTATCGTGAGAACCCCAGCTAGAGTTTGTTCTCTTCATTTGTGTATTCACACCTAGTTGATTACTCGACTGTTGTGGAGATGCTATAAAGGGGGCCATAGCTCTAGTGACCATTGATCCTTAGGTTCAAGGTACCATCCTTGTGAGATTGCATATACTTGACCTTGAATTATAAATCGTTGAACCTCTATTAGGGCACAAAGGGAGAAATGTATATTCCTGTAACTCTCACACTATTTGTTCTTTTTTGAAAATAATGACTTTGCATTCTCATACCATGCATACATTTTTGTTAGTCATATTGTTTTACTTCACTATATTTTCATGCATCATGTTCATTCATCATTTGGTAACATGCTGGGTTTAGGGGGAAATCACAGGTATTCACTTGATCTCGTACAAGATGGAAGTTGATGCAAGATCTGGTGCTACACAACAGACCGACTCTATCGTGTTAAGAAAAAAATCTCGCCTGAGGACTCATAGTGCGAACTTGGGAACTTGACAGGGTTGATAAACTTAGGCAAAAGGTTAAAGACCATAAAGACAGAAGCCTTCAGGAAGAAGTACGGAAATCTGTTGAGTCTAATGGAGGTGGAAGTACAGTTGCCTGCTATCACAGCTCTTGCACAGTATTACGACTCTCCGCTAAGATGCTTCACCTTTCAAGATTTTCAGCGGGCGCCAACTATAGAGGAGTTTGAGCACATCCTGGGATTGCCACTAGAGGGCACCACTCCGTATCAGCACTTGGAGCATCACGCCTCCATCCCTACCATTGCCGCCATACTGAAAGTACATCCCAAAGAACTTGAAGACAGGTTGGTAACAAGGAATCAAGTACGTGGACTGACACAAGGATATTTGGAGCAGTACTTGCATCATCTAGCTGATGGGGAAGAGTGGGAGACTTTCATGGACGTGTTAGCCCTTACCATGTATGGCGTCGTGTTGTTTCCTAAAGTAGAGGACTTTGTGGATTATACCGCAATGGATGTCTTCGTGGCAAAAAAGACGAGACCAGAGAACCCTGTAACAGCAGTCCTTGCAGATGTTTATGGGACCATGAGTTTTTGCCATGAGAGAAAAGGGAAGAAAATTCTTTGTTGTTTGCTGGCGCTGTATGCATGGATGACTGCGCGTGTATGTAAGGGGGCGGTTGATGTCAGGTGTCCGTCGGGAGATCCTTCACACCAAGGGCCCAAAGACAAAGGAGGAAATGAGTGGGCCCAATTCTTTGCTGGCTTGAATGGAGGAAAAGTAAAGTGGCTTCTTCCTTGGCTTGGGATTAAGCCCTCTATCCATCATTGTGGCAGCTTTCCCAATGTACCCCTCATAGGTACCCGATATTGCATCAATTATAACCCTGTCTTGGTTCAAAGGCTATTCGGACATCCCATGAAAGGGGCACCTTCACCGAACTACCTTACAATATTGTTCATCTATTATGAGGATGGGCACCTCACTGAAACGTTGAGGAAAGTTAAAAGTGCTTGGGAAAACATTATGCGAGCAGAAAAGGATTGAAGGTTGGGAGTGGTGGACGGCAAAGTTAGTTATCATACCTAGATCCTGGAAAGGGTAAAGGAAGTCAAACTGCCTTTCAAGCCAATCAGTGATCAGCCGGTTAATGAAGGGCCCTCCCTAGACCTAGAGAGCGAAGAGGTGAAGAGGTTGAAAATAGAGATGGAAAAATTGAGGGAGAAGAATCCTAGGCTGGGAAAGGAATTACAAACTGCGCCCAAAGATTTTGTTGATATGATGAATGATAAAGAAGAAAAGGCACATGCCTATGAAGAAATTGTCAGAAGTCAGAAGGCCGAAAGAGATATACATTCCGATTGAAGCAAGATCTTGCAGCCGCAAGCAAAGAGCTGGCCATGAGAGTGAAGGAGAAGAATGCGGCGTTGGAAGAGGGAAAACAGTGGAAGCACCTCTACGAAGAAGCTAAAAGAGATAAGCGAGAAGCCTTGAAAAGACTAAGAGAAGCGCAGGTTCAGGTAGAAAAAACGGGGCATGAGATGAAGGAAATGGCCATGTCGTTTGAGGCGGATATGAACCAGGAGCGTTGGAAGCTAGCAGAAACAGAAGAAGAGCATCGAACCATGATAAAACAAATGGAGGAGTACATTGAGGAGCAGGAGGAACGATGGAGGTCGACGGAGTTTGAGGAAAGGCATCAGGTCTTGGTGAAGCGAATGGAGGATCACATCGCAGAGCAGGAAAAGGCTGTGAAGCATTGGAAGGAAAACTTTTCCCAATTGGCTATGCTGGAAAACGGAGCAATTGAAAACATCCCCAAGATGGTGTTGGACGCCGAAGCGAGTACCCACTTTTGTAACCCACCGGAAGAAATCGAACTTTTTATTAATCACTGTAAATGGTTGGTAGGCGAGATGAAATCCTTCATCGCTCGAGCTCAGGAGTGATCTATAAATGAGATCTGTGTATTTTTTGCCTTTAGGCGATGTATTAAACTGATTTTTCTTTAAATGAAAGATGCGGGATGTTCGTTTGGTACCGACTTGTGTTAATTGCCATCAATAATGATTATCGTGATCTTGTGATTTCCACCTCTCACTAGCATGCATCATGTTTTTCTTTAGCATATCTCATTCTCATCTAATTAATTCGATTAAAATAATAAAACAGTACAAGTGAGAGAAACAATGACCAATTTTCCACGACATCCCTACAGGACTCGAGCCAATTCAAGAGTCATGGACAGTTGGGAGGAGTCGCATGAATCCATCAAAGATGATGTTAGCCTGTTGAAAGATAAGGTTGGCCAGATCTTGGCAGCCCTCGAATCCCTAAAGACTACTGGGGAGTCCTCATCTGCACGAGTTGAGGGAAGTGCCCATTTTTATCCCCCAATGTTCAACGCTGTAAACCAATCGGTCCCTTTCCCGATGTATGGTTTACCTCCAGGTTACACTCCTCCCACGGGAGATTACGCAGAAGTAGAGCAGACTTCGTTCTCCCTTCCCCCAATTGCTAATGTACAACCGACCGACACTCAAGGACCTGTTTCAGTGACGACTCCAATGGTGAATACAAGTATGAATGAGACGACCACAGTTGAAGGAACGTGGGTGACTGTAATGCCACGCGTGATTGCTAAGGAGGACTCTTCAGCCGGGGCCGTGCCGCACACCACGGTGATTGGGGGGATCGTTAGCTTCATTGGAGCTAAAAATAAGCTGGAAATTCTGGAAGAAAGGCTGAGAGCCATAAAAGGAGTCGAAAGCTATGGATTTGGCGACGTCGCAAGATTGAGCTTGGTTCCCGGCATAAAAATACCACACAAGTTTAAGGCGCCAGAGTTTGAGAAGTACAAGGGTAATACATGCCCTAAGAGCCATTTGACCATGTACTGCAGAAAGATGGCTGCGTACGCTTACGATGACAAGCTACTCATCCACTTTTTCCAAGACAGTTTGGCTGGGGTAGCATTAAACTGGTACACCCACCTTGAGTCGTCTCGAATCCGTTGCTAGGCAGACTTGACAGACGCCTTTGTAAAGCAGTATATATACAACACGCATATCGCACCGGACCGACTGCGGCTGCAAAATATGTCAAAGAGGGACAACAAAACTTTCAAGGAATATGCCCAACGGTGGAGAGAGTTAGCTGCACAAGTTGAGCCACCTTTGTATGACAGGGAGGTGGTGGCAATGTTTGTGAACACTCTCCAGCCACCATTTTACGAGCACATGGTCGGGAATGTGTCTGCCAATATCGCCTATATCATTATAATAGGCGAAAGGATAGAAATTGGGGTTAAAAATGGGAAAATTGCAAACGGTCCGCCCGCAACTGCAAATTACAAAAAACCCAATTTCAATTCAGGAAAGAAGAAGGAAGGGGATGTGCATGCAGCATCGACGATGTCTGTGTTGAGAGGTCAAGCTCCCACTCATAGTTTTCGACCATACATGGGTCAACCCCCTTATGCGGCTAACGCGGCGTTTGCTCATCAAACCAGGCCTCAACAACAACAAGGGTATTATCAATCGTCGTTGCCCCCGACTGATACTTGGAGGGCTGGGGCAATTGCGGGTCCAAATCAGAATGCGGGCCAAAACACTTACCCAAGAAGGAACCAATTTGTTAATTTCACCCCTATCCCTACAACTTACGCAGAATTCTTACCCCATCTCGTCAAAAGGGGTTTGGTTGCTATCTGTCCGATGAAGCCTATGCAACCTCCGTACCCTAGGGGTTATGATGTAGAGGCCAAATGTGGTTATCATGGGGGAGGCGTTGGTCACTCAACTAAGAGGTGTCTGGCTTTTAAACACAAAGTACAGGCTCTAATCGACTCTGGGTGGTTAAAGTTTCAAGAAGATAAACCAAACATAGAGACTAACCCGCTTTCTGGGCATGGGAGTGCCTCGACGAATGCCATCGAGGATGAAAAACATGAGTTAATAAGGGAAAAGAGTAAAATCAGAAGTTCCAGAAAATTTATATTAAAGGCAATGATAAAAGTGGGCCTTTTAAAAGGTGATTATGACGAGGATGTAACGTGTGCGCTTCATCCGAATGATGAGCACTCTATTGAGGAATGTGTTGAATTTGAAGATATTCTGCAAGACTTGCTGGATAGAAGTTTGATGCAAGTATGCTACAAGGATAAGGAGGGGGAAGTGTTCACACAAATTGGTGGGGAATCTAACGTAACTCTGCCTGAGCCGTTGGTGATCCATTTCACTAGAACCACCCCTGCGCCAGTGGCTGAAGAAAAGCCGTCTGTCGTCATCCGGGCGCCGTCTCCCTTTCCTTACAAAAACGAGAAGGTTTTCCCTTGGATGTATGGAGCACATGTGTTAGATGAGGGAAAAGGCGCAGATTCGGCCATTGAAAACATAACAAGCATAGGTGGGATGACGAGAAGTGGTCGAATCTTCGCGTCACCAATGGTGACAAGAGAGGAAACCAATAATAATGAAACAACAATGGTCGCAAAAGCCAAGGAGGTCTTAAAAGGAAAGGGCGCGCAGGTAGAGGAGACCCCTGACAAGGAGGAAAAGAAAGAAATATCCGAAGAAGAGGCCTGCGAATTTTTAAAATTCATTCAATAGAGTGAGTATAAGGTGGTGGAACAGCTGAACCGCATGCCTGCTCGGATTTCCTTGTTAGAATTGCTTATGCATTCTACCTCTCACAGAAAGTTGTTGATGAAGGTACTCAGTGAGGCTCATGTTGAGCAAGGTATTTCGTTGAACAAGTTTGAGGGCATTGTTGGCAACATCATCGCTAATAATTACCTCACCTTTACTGATGAGGAGATACCCACTGAGGGGAGAGGGCATAACAAGGCTCTTCATGTCTCTGTGAAATGTTTAGATCACGTTATAGCGCGTGTCTTGGTGGACAATGGCTCCTCTCTGAACGTCATGCCAAAATCGACATTGGAGAAGCTCCCCTGTGATGGAATGCATATGAAGCCGAGCTCTATGATTGTGAGGGCATTTGACGGCAGTAAAAGGGTAGTGATGGGAGAAATTGAATTGCCCGTTCAAGTCGGTCCTTGTGTCTTTCAAGTGACCTTTCAAGTTATGGATATCCTCCCGGCTTATAGCTGTTTGTTGGGTCGCCCGTGGATCCATTCTGCAGGAGTTGTGCCTTCCACACTACACCAAAAGCTGAAATATGTTATGGGAGATAAGCTGGTGATAGTATCAGGAGAGGAGGACCTCCTTGTGAGCGGACCATCATCCTCCCGTTATATTGAAGTAGCCGAGGAAGCTCTCGAGGCAACTTTCCAATCTCTGGAGATCGTGGGAAACACCTACGTGGAGCCATTCGCGATCAGCCCACATCTGTCGCGTGCTTCTATCATGATGGCCAAAGTCATGTTAAAAGAAGGTTACATGCATGGGAAAGGTTTGGGTAGGTATGGACAGGGGCGAGCATTCCCTCTGGAGGTCGTCGAGAACAAGAATAGGTATGGCCTGGGATACAAGCCCACCAAGGAGGATAGGAGAAGGNAAGGAAGTCAAACTGCCTTTCAAGCCAATCAGTGATCAGCCGGTTAATGAAGGGCCCTCCCTAGACCTAGAGAGCGAAGAGGTGAAGAGGTTGAAAATAGAGATGGAAAAATTGAGGGAGAAGAATCCTAGGCTGGGAAAGGAATTACAAACTGCGCCCAAAGATTTTGTTGATATGATGAATGATAAAGAAGAAAAGGCACATGCCTATGAAGAAATTGTCAGAAGTCAGAAGGCCGAAAGAGATATACATTCCGATTGAAGCAAGATCTTGCAGCCGCAAGCAAAGAGCTGGCCATGAGAGTGAAGGAGAAGAATGCGGCGTTGGAAGAGGGAAAACAGTGGAAGCACCTCTACGAAGAAGCTAAAAGAGATAAGCGAGAAGCCTTGAAAAGACTAAGAGAAGCGCAGGTTCAGGTAGAAAAAACGGGGCATGAGATGAAGGAAATGGCCATGTCGTTTGAGGCGGATATGAACCAGGAGCGTTGGAAGCTAGCAGAAACAGAAGAAGAGCATCGAACCATGATAAAACAAATGGAGGAGTACATTGAGGAGCAGGAGGAACGATGGAGGTCGACGGAGTTTGAGGAAAGGCATCAGGTCTTGGTGAAGCGAATGGAGGATCACATCGCAGAGCAGGAAAAGGCTGTGAAGCATTGGAAGGAAAACTTTTCCCAATTGGCTATGCTGGAAAACGGAGCAATTGAAAACATCCCCAAGATGGTGTTGGACGCCGAAGCGAGTACCCACTTTTGTAACCCACCGGAAGAAATCGAACTTTTTATTAATCACTGTAAATGGTTGGTAGGCGAGATGAAATCCTTCATCGCTCGAGCTCAGGAGTGATCTATAAATGAGATCTGTGTATTTTTTGCCTTTAGGCGATGTATTAAACTGATTTTTCTTTAAATGAAAGATGCGGGATGTTCGTTTGGTACCGACTTGTGTTAATTGCCATCAATAATGATTATCGTGATCTTGTGATTTCCACCTCTCACTAGCATGCATCATGTTTTTCTTTAGCATATCTCATTCTCATCTAATTAATTCGATTAAAATAATAAAACAGTACAAGTGAGAGAAACAATGACCAATTTTCCACGACATCCCTACAGGACTCGAGCCAATTCAAGAGTCATGGACAGTTGGGAGGAGTCGCATGAATCCATCAAAGATGATGTTAGCCTGTTGAAAGATTAGGTTGGCCAGATCTTGGCAGCCCTCGAATCCCTAAAGACTACTGGGGAGTCCTCATCTGCACGAGTTGAGGGAAGTGCCCATTTTTATCCCCCAATGTTCAACGCTGTAAACCAATCGGTCCCTTTCCCGATGTATGGTTTACCTCCAGGTTACACTCCTCCCACGGGAGATTACGCAGAAGTAGAGCAGACTTCGTTCTCCCTTCCCCCAATTGCTAATGTACAACCGACCGACACTCAAGGACCTGTTTCAGTGACGACTCCAATGGTGAATACAAGTATGAATGAGACGACCGCAGTTGAAGGAACGTGGGTGACTGTAATGCCACGCGTGATTGCTAAGGAGGACTCTTCAGCCGGGGCCGTGCCGCACACCACGGTGATTGGGGGGATCGTTAGCTTCATTGGAGCTAAAAATAAGCTGGAAATTCTGGAAGAAAGGCTGAGAGCCATAAAAGGAGTCGAAAGCTATGGATTTGGCGACGTCGCAAGATTGAGCTTGGTTCCCGGCATAAAAATACCACACAAGTTTAAGGCGCCAGAGTTTGAGAAGTACAAGGGTAATACATGCCCTAAGAGCCATTTGACCATGTACTGCAGAAAGATGGCTGCGTACGCTTACGATGACAAGCTACTCATCCACTTTTTCCAAGACAGTTTGGCTGGGGTAGCATTAAACTGGTACACCCACCTTGAGTCGTCTCGAATCCGTTGCTAGGCAGACTTGACAGACGCCTTTGTAAAGCAGTATATATACAACACGCATATCGCACCGGACCGACTGCGGCTGCAAAATATGTCAAAGAGGGACAACAAAACTTTCAAGGAATATGCCCAACGGTGGAGAGAGTTAGCTGCACAAGTTGAGCCGCCTTTGTATGACAGGGAGGTGGTGGCAATGTTTGTGAACACTCTCCAGCCTCCATTTTACGAGCACATGGTCGGGAATGTGTCTGCCAATATCGCCTATATCATTATAATAGGCGAAAGGATAGAAATTGGGGTTAAAAATGGGAAAATTGCAAACGGTCCGCCCGCAACTGCAAATTACAAAAAACCCAATTTCAATTCAGGAAAGAAGAAGGAAGGGGATGTGCATGCAGCATCGACGATGTCTGTGTTGAGAGGTCAAGCTCCCACTCATAGTTTTCGACCATACATGGGTCAACCCCCTTATGCGGCTAACGCGGCGTTTGCTCATCAAACCAGGCCTCAACAACAACAAGGGTATTATCAATCGTCGTTGCCCCCGACTGATACTTGGAGGGCTGGGGCAATTGCGGGTCCAAATCAGAATGCGGGCCAAAACACTTACCCAAGAAGGAACCAATTTGTTAATTTCACCCCTATCCCTACAACTTACGCAGAATTCTTACCCCATCTCGTCAAAAGGGGTTTGGTTGCTATCTGTCCGATGAAGCCTATGCAACCTCCGTACCCTAGGGGTTATGATGTAGAGGCCAAATGTGGTTATCATGGGGGAGGCGTTGGTCACTCAACTAAGAGGTGTCTGGCTTTTAAACACAAAGTACAGGCTCTAATCGACTCTGGGTGGTTAAAGTTTCAAGAAGATAAACCTAGCATCGAGACTAACCCGCTTTCTGGGCATGGGAGTGCCTCGACGAATGCCATCGAGGATGGAAAACATGAGTTCATAAGGGATGCGAGTAAAATCCGAAGTTCCAGAAAGTTTATTTTTAAGGCGTTGATAAAAGTGGGCCTTTTAAAAGGTGATTATGACGAGGATGTAACGTGTGCGCTTCATCCGAATGATGCGCACTCTATTGAGGAATGTGTTGAATTTGAAGATATTCTGCAAGACTTGCTGGATAGAAGTTTGATGCAAGTATGCTACAAGGATAAGGAGGGGGAAGTGTTCACACAAATTGGTGGGGAATCTAACGTAACTCTGCCTGAGCCGTTGGTGATCCATTTCACTAGAACCACCCCTGCGCCAGTGGCTGAAGAAAAGCCGTCTGTCGTCATCCGGGCGCCGTCTCCCTTTCCTTACAAAAACGAGAAGGTTTTCCCTTGGATGTATGGAGCACATGTGTTAGATGAGGGAAAAGGCGCAGATTCGGCCATTGAAAACATAACAAGCATAGGTGGGATGACGAGAAGTGGTCGAATCTTCGCGTCACCAATGGTGACAAGAGAGGAAACCAATAATAATGAAACAACAATGGTCGCAAAAGCCAAGGAGGTCTTAAAAGGAAAGGGCGCGCAGGTAGAGGAGACCCCTGACAAGGAGGAAAAGAAAGAAATATCCGAAGAAGAGGCCTGCGAATTTTTAAAATTCATTCAATAGAGTGAGTATAAGGTGGTGGAACAGCTGAACCGCATGCCTGCTCGGATTTCCTTGTTAGAATTGCTTATGCATTCTACCTCTCACAGAAAGTTGTTGATGAAGGTACTCAGTGAGGCTCATGTTGAGCAAGGTATTTCGTTGAACAAGTTTGAGGGCATTGTTGGCAACATTATCGCTAATAACTACCTCACCTTTACTGATAAGGAGATACCCACTGAGGGGAGAGGGCATAACAAGGCTCTTCATGTCTCTGTGAAATGTTTGGATCATGTTATAACACGTGTCTTGGTGGACAGTAGCTCCTCTCTGAACGTCATGCCAAAATCGACATTGGAGAAGCTACCCTGTGATGAAATGCATATGAAGCCAAGCTCTATGATTGTGAGAGCGTTTGACGACAGTAAGAGGGTAGTGATGGGAGAAGTTGAATTGCTAGTCCAAGTCGGTCCTTGTGTCTTTCAAGTGACATTCCAAGTTATGGATATCCTCCTGGCTTATAGCTGTTTGTTGGGTCGCCCGAGGATCCATTCTGCAGGAGTTGTGCCTTCCACACTACACCAAAAGCTGAAATATGTCATGGGAGATAAGTTGGTGATAGTATCAGGAGAGGAGGACCTCCTTGTGAGCGGACCATCGTCCACGCGATATATTGAGGTGGCTGAGGAAGCTCTTGAAACAACTTTCCAGTCATTGGAGATTGTGGGAAATGCCTATGTGGAGCCATTCCCAGTAAACCCGCATTTGTCACGTGCTTCTATCATCATGGCCAAGGTCTTGCTGAAAGAAGGGTATATGCCTGGTAGAGGTTTAGGCAAGCATGGGCAGGGGCAAACTTTCCCTCTAAAGGTCGTTGAGAATAGAAACAGATATGGCCTAGGGTACAAGCCCACCAAAGAGGACAAGAGAAGACTGATGGAAGAAAGGAGAGAGCGCGGTCTGGCTCGTGTAGAAAGGCGAGAACCCAGGGTGGAAAGGATTCATATTCGTGACATCAAGGAGAGCTTTCGTAGTGCTGGATGGATCAACGCGGGCCATATAGCAGCCGTGGAGGATGAAGATAGCTCTGAATGCTCAAGTTTCGTGCGGGCCTGCTCCCCAGATGCACCACTCAACAATTGGGAAACTCTGAATTTACCAGTGATGCTTAATTTGAATAAAACGTAATAGTTTTAATTAATCCTATAGCTTCACCTGGGGCTTTAGGATTCATGACTTACGGGTTGACGTTTTAGTTTTTGTGCTCAACGTGATAATCAAATCGTGTTTGTTTGTGTTTTATCATCATTTGGCATTCTTCATCATTTTTCCCGTTTATTTATTCTTTTTTTCATAAATTTAAATAATGCAGATATGACAATGAAAGTTTTGAAAATAACAATGTCGATATTCCTAATTTTGAGCACCCTGTCAATAATACGGAAGATGAATGTGAAGATGATCCGGAACCCTCTCCAGAACTCTTGAGATTAGTGGAAAAAGAGTCTAAAGAGATAAAACCCCATCAGGAAGAGATTGAAGTACTCAACTTAGGAGAGGAAGAGGAGATAAAGGAAGTAAAAATCAGTATTGGCATGAAAAAGGAAGTGAAGGAAGGGTTGCGAGCCCTATTGAAGGAGTTTAAGGATGTGTTTGCGTCTTACAATGACATGCCAGGTTTGGATACCGATATTGTGCAACACAAGCTCCCACTTAAACCGGAATACCTTCCAGTCAAGCAAAAACTAAGAAGAATGAAACCAAAAATGTCATTGAAAATAAAGGAAGAGGTACAGAAACAATTCGACGCAGGATTTCTGGCTGTGGCGAGATACCCACAATGGGTAGCAAATATTGTACCAGTGCCTAAGAAAGATGGTAAAGTTCGAATGTGTGTTGACTATCGGGATTTGAATCGTGCAAGTCTGAAGGATAACTTCCCCGTTACGCACATCGACACTTTGGTTGATAATACGGCCAAGTACTCGCTATTTTCATTCATGGATGGTTTCTCGGGGTATAATCAGATTAAGATGGCGCCTGAGGACATGGAAAAGACGACCTTCATCACGTTGTGGGGGACTTTTTGTTATAAGGTGATGTCTTTTGGACTCAAGAATGCCGGGGCAACATATCAAAGGGCGATGGTGACACTTTTTCATGATATGATGCACAAGGAGATCGAAGTTTATGTGGATGACATGATTGCAAAGTCTGAATCGGAAGAAGAACACATCCTCAACTTGAAGAAATTATTTGAGAGATTGAGAAAGTATAAACTCAGGTTAAACCCCGCCAAATGCACATTTGGAGTGAAATCCGGGAAGTTGTTGGGTTTTGTGGTTAGCCAAAGGGGGATAGAAATGGATCCTGACAAAGTGCGAGCGATATCGGAAATGCCTACGCCTAGAACGAAAAAGGAGGTTCGCGATTTTCTGGGTAGATTGAACTACATTGCTAGATTCATCTCCCAATTAACCGCTACCTCTGAACCAATGTTCAAGTTGTTACGAAAGAATCAGGTTGTGGTTTGGAACGAGGATTGTCAAGCCGCTTTTGAAAATATCAAACAATACCTGCTAGACCCACCTGTATTGCGTCCACCCGAGCCAGGAAGACCACTCATTTTGTATTTAACTGTATTGGAAAGGTCAATTGGTTGCGTATTGGGTCAACATGATGAAGCTGGAAAAAGAGAGCATGCAATATATTACTTGAGCAAGAAATTCACAGACTGTGAACAACGATATTCGTTGTTAGAGCGAACTTGTTGTGCATTAGCATGGGCTGCTCATCGCTTAAGGCAATACATGTTGAGTCACTCTACTTGGTTGATAGCCAAGATGGATCCGATCAAGTTTATTTTTGAAAAGCCTGCTCTCACTGGAAGGATAGCTCGGTGGCAGATGCTATTGTCAGAATATGACATCGTATATGTTACTCAGAAATCCGTCAAGGGTAGTGCTCTAGCAGAATACCTGGCTCATCAACCCATTAGCGATTATCAACCAATGCAACCTGAATTTCCCGATGAAGACATCATGGCTATACTCGAAGAGAACGAAGAAGATCGAGACGAAAAAGCATGGACGGTATTATTCGACGGAGCCTCGAATGTGATGGGACATGGAATAGGGGCAGTGCTTGTTTCTCCAGGGAAGCAGTACATACCAATGACAACAAGGTTGTGTTTTAATTGTACGAATAACATCGCAGAATATGAGGCTTGTGCTATGGGTATTCGAGCGGCGATCGAGTCCAAGGCAAGAGTTCTAGATGTATACGGAGATTCAGCTTTGGTCAGGCTTATATCAGGGAGACTAGGGTTACAAAATTAATTCCCTACCAGGCTTATATCAGGGGATTAATGGAGTATTTCGATTCCATCACATTTAACCACATACCGCGAGAAGAAAATCAATTGGCAGACGCGTTGGCGACCTTGTCATCAATGTTTGAAGTTGACCAAGATGCAAAATTACCAATGATTAAAATGAAGAGTCATGTAGAGCCAGCATATTTCCATTTCATCGAGGAGGAATTAGACGGTAAACCTTGGTATTTTGATATCAAGCATTATCTTAAGACCCGAGAATACCTTGAGAAAGCATCTGAAAACGATAAAAGGTCGCTAAGGAGATTGGCTGGCAATTTTATCTTGAGTAGGGATATTTTATACAAGAGAAATCACAACATGGTCCTCCTCAGATGCGTGGATGCAAAGGAGGCCGAGTTGATATTGAAAGAAGTGCACGAGGGTACCTTTGGCACGCACATGAATGGGCACTCGATGGCCAGGAAGATATTGAGAGCTGGTTATTTTTGGCTGACCATGGAAAGTGATTGTTGCACACATGTGAGAAAGTGTGAGAAATGTTAGAAGTATGCAGATAATATCAATGTGCCACCTACGACTCTAAGCGTGTTGTCTGCACCGTGGCCATTTTTGATGTGGGGGATAGATGTCATTGGAGCTATAGAGCCGAAGGCGTCAAATGAACATCGTTTCATACTAGTCGCAATCGATTACTTCACCAAATGGGTGGAGGCTACTTCTTACGCCAACGTAACTAGAAAGGTGGTGACCAGATTCATAAAAAGGGAGTTGATCTGTAGATACGGGCTCCCTAACAGAATCATCACTGATAATGCCACTAACTTGAACAATCAGATGATGGTGGTGTTGTGTGAGGAATTCAAGATTCATCATCATAATTCTTCTCCTTACCATCCAAAGATGAATGGGGCGGTAGAGGCTGCCAGTAAGAATATTAAGAAAATTGTGCAAAAGATGGTGGTCACCTATAAAGATTGGCACGAAATGCTTCCTTTTGCTCTACATGGATATCGCACATCGGTACGAACATCAACCGGCGCAATACCTTTCTCGCTTGTGTATGGGATTGAAGCAGTACTTCCATTTGAGGTGGAAATTTCGTCCTTACGAGTGTTAATGGAAACCCAACTAAAGGAGGCTGAGTGGGTTCAAGTTCGATTTGATCAGCTCAATCTTATTGAAGAAAAAAGGTTAACAACAGTGTGTCATGGGCAATTGTACCAAAGAAGAATGAAAAATGCATTTGACAAAAGGGTGCATCCAAGAGAGTTCCACGAAGGCGAGCTGGTGTTGAAGAAGATCTTGCCTGTACAAAAGGATCATAGAGGCAAGTGGACCCCGAAATATGAAGGGCCATTCGTAGTGAAGAAAGCATTCTCTGGTGCGGCACTAATTCTCACAAGGATGGATGGAGAGGAGTTACCGTTACCGGTTAATTCGGATGCGGTCAAAAAGTTTTACACATGATGATTCCGTGATGGGGGAATGCTGTTAAGGGATATTGACATGATCTTTACAGTTTGTTGTACTCTGTGTTATTTCATTCAATAAATACTGCATGGTTTCATTCATAATTTTTGTTCGCATGCTTCTTGAAATATTGCATGTCGCGCTGAGCTTTTAGGTAAATAAGGGAAAATAAAGGTAATGATAATTAAGCACACATGAGTAAAAGCATCGCGAGTATATTCGGTTGGCACAAGCTTGTTCCTGAGGGATGTCGTGAAAGACTAAAAAAGGAGAGAATAAAAATGAACATGTTGAATTCGTTGTCAATTAAGTTGTCTAGGGCATGGTACTTTCAAAAAACAAGCAAATAAATAAAGTTTTGAAAAAACAATAACTTGAAGTGGCAAAGATGTGGAGTCTTCTCCTGATTCAGGGTTTCGGGGGTAACTTGTGTTCATTTCTCGTTAAAGCATCTGCTTTCATATCGCGTGAACCCCTAACCTTTTCATTTCCCTTCAAAACAAAGGATTGTTGTGGATATAATACTGGGGCAGTTGTCATCATGGTACCGGTGCCCAACGATCCGTGATCGGGGAGCAAAAAAAAATAATGATAAATAAAAAATATATATATAAAATAAAAAAATGAAGTCGATGTGTCAACCGCTACAGAATTTCGTCTCATGGTTAAGGTTGTGGAAGGCAAGTCAAGCAAGCTTCAGGATGACGTGTGACCATTTTCTTTATCCAAATGATAAAAGAAGTTTAATTAATTGCACCCACTTTGAACCATAAGTCGTAATCATTTTTCATCACCCTAGACAAGAATCATTCGCATATCAACGTCAACCTAAAAGGTACATCAAGGACATCCAAAATCAATGAGAAAATTGTTGTAAAAAGGATAAGAAAAAAAAAGCTAAAAAAAGGGCTACAACAGAGGCAACAAAACAAGTGACCAAAAGGGAAAGAAAGAAAGTAAAGGAATGAATGGAAAAATAATAAAAGAATGTCCAGAGTTTTAAACTCTTAGAAACTGGTTGACTTAGCACTTTGCAGATGATTCTTTTTTAAAATGGTTTAACCGTTAAACACTTATTTGAGCTTTCATTATCTGTTTCTTTCATAACCCGTTTGCCTTTTAGCCACGTTACAAGCCGATTAAATTCCACGCCGACTGAAGATTGTTCGTCCTGATCTTTCTCACGAACTTAACTCTGGGAAGGAATGATGTGGTGACTGACATCATCACTAGAAGAAAAGAAAGGACATTGAAAATGAAAAGTGAAAATATAATGTAAAGTCTCCCCATCAATCGTCATCAACTGGGGCAATCCTTCCCACCCAAACCTTTTCACCTCTCCAAATCGTACTTACTGTGCACAGTAAAATTGGGGCAGTCTTGTGGGCCCTACATGTTTCTATGTTAACCATACCTCCCCAGATGAGGAGAACACAAATGTTAGCTCCACATACAATCATTCAGCTATCTACTTCTCGTCCCTATTTTTCCCTCACCTTCTCGGGTTCAAGCCAAATTGGATTGCAGGAAGCAATAAAGAGAACTTGAACTCATGGTTACACCCTTCTCTTTCTCATTAGAGGGCTCACTGTCTCCTGACATTTTTATGATTACGTTTTGAATGTACATCAAGTTTGATGACGATGTTGACAATGAGTTTCAAACATGGGCAGTCTAATTAAGAGAGAGTGGCACAATTTAAAAAAGGAAAAAGAGGAGAGCAAAGGTTTCACGTGTTTATGTATGCATGCATCCTCATGACATTACATCATACATTTCATAATAAGCAAGGTATTTTGTTTGAAAAATCCTTAAGGCACAAGAGAAGTTGTGAAAAGGATAATACGACATTTTCTTTCAAGTCTATTCAATGTTTTGCTCAGCGTTTACCAACGTTTCAGAAAGTTTCAAATCCAAGTTTTCTTATATGTTTGGACCCTCTCCTCGGCAATGGTCGAATTCAGTTTGTTATTCTATGTGTTGACCCTCTGCTAGGCCATGGTCAAATCCAAATTTTCGTTTTATATTGTTTACCCTTTGCTCGGCAATGGTCGAATTCAGGTTGTTATTCTATGTGTTGACCCTTTGCTAGGCCATGGTCAAATCCAAATTTTCGTTTTATAATGTTGACCCTCTGCTCGGCAATGGTCGAATTCAGCTTGTTATTCTACGTGTTGACCCTCTGCTAGGCCATGGTCAAGTCCGGTTTTCGTTTTATGTTGTTGACCCTCTGCTCGGCAACAGTCGAATTCAGCTTCTTATTCTATGTGTTGACCCTCTGCTAGGCCATGGTCAAATCTAAATTTTCGTTTTATAGTGTTGACCCTCTGCTCGACAATGGTCGAATTCAGCTTGTTATTCTACGTGTTGACCCTCTGCTAGGCCATGGTCAAGTTCGGTTTTCGTTTTATGTTGTTGACCCTCTGCTCGGTAACGATCAAATTCAGCTTGTTGTTCTGTGTTACCGGCCCTCTACTAAGCAATGGTCGAGTCTAGATTTTCGTTTTATGTTGTTGACCATCTGCTCGGCAATGGTCAAATCCAGCTTGTTGTTTTATGTTTCGACTCCCTGCTTGGCAAGGGTCGTCTTCTTTTATTGCAATCTTTGTTTTATGGATTCGGCTAATCTTATGTCTTGTATTTATCCTCTTTCATTTCATTTCCTTAGAAGATCTAGACGAAATTAGTATTTCTATCTTTACCTATCTTTTACTATATAATATGAAAACATCANCGAGACGAAAAAGCATGGACGGTATTATTCGACGGAGCCTCGAATGTGATGGGACATGGAATAGGGGCAGTGCTTGTTTCTCCAGGGAAGCAGTACATACCAATGACAACAAGGTTGTGTTTTAATTGTACGAATAACATCGCAGAATATGAGGCTTGTGCTATGGGTATTCGAGCGGCGATCGAGTCCAAGGCAAGAGTTCTAGATGTATACGGAGATTCAGCTTTGGTCAGGCTTATATCAGGGAGACTAGGGTTACAAAATTAATTCCCTACCAGGCTTATATCAGGGGATTAATGGAGTATTTCGATTCCATCACATTTAACCACATACCGCGAGAAGAAAATCAATTGGCAGACGCGTTGGCGACCTTGTCATCAATGTTTGAAGTTGACCAAGATGCAAAATTACCAATGATTAAAATGAAGAGTCATGTAGAGCCAGCATATTTCCATTTCATCGAGGAGGAATTAGACGGTAAACCTTGGTATTTTGATATCAAGCATTATCTTAAGACCCGAGAATACCTTGAGAAAGCATCTGAAAACGATAAAAGGTCGCTAAGGAGATTGGCTGGCAATTTTATCTTGAGTAGGGATATTTTATACAAGAGAAATCACAACATGGTCCTCCTCAGATGCGTGGATGCAAAGGAGGCCGAGTTGATATTGAAAGAAGTGCACGAGGGTACCTTTGGCACGCACATGAATGGGCACTCGATGGCCAGGAAGATATTGAGAGCTGGTAAATTTTGGCTGACCATGGAAAGTGATTGTTGCACACATGTGAGAAAGTGAGAGAAATGTAAGAAGTATGCAGATAATATCAATGTGCCACCTACGACTCTAAGCGTGTTGTCTGCACCGTGGCCATTTTTGATGTGGGGGATAGATGTCATTGGAGCTATAGAGCCGAAGGCGTCAAATGAACATCGTTTCATACTAGTCGCAATCGATTACTTCACCAAATGGGTGGAGGCTACTTCTTACGCCAACGTAACTAGAAAGGTGGTGACCAGATTCATAAAAAGGGAGTTGATCTGTAGATACGGGCTCCCTAACAGAATCATCACTGATAATGCCACTAACTTGAACAATCAGATGATGGTGGTGTTGTGTGAGGAATTCAAGATTCATCATCATAATTCTTCTCCTTACCATCCAAAGATGAATGGGGCGGTAGAGGCTGCCAGTAAGAATATTAAGAAAATTGTGCAAAAGATGGTGGTCACCTATAAAGATTGGCACGAAATGCTTCCTTTTGCTCTACATGGATATCGCACATCGGTAC